ATCTCTTACTACACTTTCAAAAACTTTAGTTGAAAAAACAACTGAAGCTGAAGAATTGTTATTGAGATCTATCATATACAGAGATTGATTTATCTTAAAAATAGGTTTTTTGACAATAGAGGAGATAAACAATCTTCTTGGTATATGTCAATATTTTTTTCATAAAGAGAAAATAAATCATATTTTAGTAAAAGTATATAGATTAAGTTTACATAATAAAGCTTATCATGTCTCACCTACAAATATTTTTAAATATTCATAGAACAATTTGCAATCCGCAAAATCAAATTAAAAATACATTTTTCCCCAAAATTATAATCAATCCTATTTAACTATGAATATTTCAGAAGAAACCTATCCTGTTATAAAGTTCAGGCTTGATCATGAGCCAATTGATATAAACAATATTGAATAGGGATTTGTTAGACAACTATTATTACACAAATCTTCTTTACATCTTATAAAAGATTTTCTAGCTTTTATTAAATCTCAACCAAGAGATTTAACAAGAAAAAAAAAAGAATATTTTCATATTGCAATAGATAGTCTTATTGGTATCTTTGACAGAGAAAAATTTGTCAACTATATCAAATTTGGGTAAATATGGTATTAAATCATTGTTGTCTTCTTAGTGCAATAGAAGAATAGCCACAAGGATTGAAACAATCAATTGATAAATGCATCAATGATCCTGCCTATTATCAAATACAAGCAATAGTTGATTTGAAAGTCACAGCTGAAATTAATTCTTCATGAAAATGGAAATAGACTTCGAACTGATGGGAAAATAATAATGGTTGAAGACTTTCATTTAGAAGAAAACATATCTGATGAAGAGTCCATACCGCTATTAAAAAGATAGCAAATATGGAAATTGAAGACTATCCCCCTTTCATAGTTGAAGAAATCAAAAGAACACCAACATGGAACAAAGCAATGTTAACACCTCTGTCACCATCTCTAGATGGATATGAAATAATGAATATAGAGAACATGCAAGAAGGGTGAACATGAAAAAAGTCAAAAAAAATTGTCATAACCTAAATAGAAGGAAGACTGCAACAATAAATAAAAATACAATATGTGGAAGCCACCATAAAATAGAAAAGTACAAGACGTAGAAGCCACCACAAGAAGACAAAAATAAAAGCACCAACACGTGGAAGACTACCAAGGCGTACTTCAAAATAAATTGAAAGTAGCTTTGTAATGAAGTCTATAAAAGGAGAAGCTTGCAAGCAAGAATGACCTTTAGAATCACCTTTTGTATCATCTTTAGCATCACCTTTTCTACTACCACTCTCCTCTCCAGCTTAGTTCTCATAGATTTTTTCTTTATAATATTTCGTTCTCTTTCTTTTGTATCACTATCCTTGTGTAAAATACTTGTGTAAAATCGTTTCTGCGCCCTTAACCATGATAATAATTGCCCTAAAATAATTATAAAATCATGATAATAACTTAGTTTATATTTCATTGCTTTTTAATTGAAATATGCTACGGACAAGTTTATTCATATATGAAATTACAAAGAATCATTATAAATACATAAATTACAAACAATCAATATAAATATATCTCAATTCTCCTTTCCCTTGCTGCGGTTCGTCCACCCTTGTTCATGGTGTATTGGACATGCCGGGTTGGAAGTATGATAAGAATAGATGTTTCACGACTTGAAGTGCGTGTGCTCGACGAGCAGTTTGGCTCGTTTGGAAAGGATAAAGAGAGAGTTCGGAGACACCTAAATGCGAGATGTGGCTTGTGCGGCGCTGCTGTTGAATCTGCCTCCCACATATTTAGAGAGTGTCCGACTACTCGGGTAAGTTGGCGTGCTTTGGTGAGACCTAATCGGATTAATGAATTTGCTAGACTGCCGATGGATGATTGGATCGGCTCTGTGGTGTCTTTGGTATGACGAAATCCTATGCTCTTTTATCCGGATTATGTGACAGATGACTAATGATGGAGTCAGAAATATTTTTTTTAATGTGGACACACATAGGGTTGCACAGAATTCGGATTTTAATCCGATTCGGATCGGTTTTTATCCGATCTGGTTTTTTCTCATAGAAAAAAAATCGGTTTATAAAATAACCGGTTTGGAGGGCCTGATATCCTAACCGGTGTAACCGGTTTCGGTTTTAAAAAAACCGATTTTTTTAAAAATCCGGTTATAAAAAAACCGATTTTAATATTATTAAAATTACATCGTCATCAATTGCAACAAAATTTACGATAATTGAAATACTTAAATACTTCCAAGTTCGATAAATTAAAATACTTAAAAACTTCCAAGTTCGATAAATTCAAATACTTAAAAACTTCAAGTTCAATAATTGAAACAAAGTTTACGATAATTAAAATAAAGTTTAAAAATAAACTACATTGCCATCTCTTCTTCATCATCTTCGCCTTCTTCGTTTGGAGGGGATATTCCAAGTTCGACTTCTTCAATGTGTAAGTTTGCTTCCAAATCGGCATCAATTGCATCTTCTAGGGTGGAAATATGTTGCTTACGAGCCGCTCCATCCAAATAATCCTTCAAACAAATGCATACTTCCACCGACTCGGGACTTAGTCTTGATCTCCGTTGCGATATAACCCTACCACTAACAGAAAAAGCGGATTCCGAAGTTACCGTAGAAGCTTGGACGGTTAGTAAATCACGGGCCATGGCGGCTAGAATCGAAAATTGTGCTTCATTTTCTTTCCACCAAGCCAAAATATCTAAACTTTCAAACTCTTCAAATGTCATTTTTGATAGAAAATCGCATGACATGTAATTTCCCAACTCGCTACTTGGGGTGGTAGTACGTGATCGTTTGGATTGGGAATTTACAAGAGTGTTAAAAAGATTCAAATTTATGTTACTTGGACGTCTACTAGATGATTCCGCATTCATTCTCATTTGATCGTGTATTACACTACTTGATCCGTATTTAGTTAAATAAATTACAAACATGTCTCGAAAACATTTGTTAAAATAATTTATTTGGTTTTGGACAAAGTTGGGTTCATCATCGGTTAGATTAAAAGCAAACGCAATTTGTTCAATTAGTGTTTCAACCCCACCAACATTTAACGTTGGGTTTAAAGCGGCGGCACAAGTAAAAATGGAGGGAATCTCCTTAAAATATTTTAAAAGTTTTTCCTTCATTGCAAAGCCAATTTCTTGAAAAACTTCGGTTTCAAATTCAAAGTCATTTAGTCGGGTAGCCAACAAAAATATTTGATTAAGAATCAACGGGCTAGTAGGGTAATAAACACCGGATAAAAAAGTTGTTGCATTTTTAAAAACCTCAAGCAAATCGGTTATTTTGGCTATAGTTTCCTAACTCGAATCCGGATAAATGTTTGGGACATGACCCCTCTCGAAAAGTCGATCGTGAAATGTTTGCAATGTTTCCCTTTGCCTTAAGGCAGTATGCATCATCATCCAAGTTGAGTTCCAACGAGTTGGACAATCCAAATTAGGACCCAAAGCTTTTTTATTAACGGACTTACAAAATCGTTTATAATCATTTAGTCTTTTGTTGTTGTTACAAAGAACCGATTTTATCATTGTTTTAAATTCTAATCTAATCGGCTCAATAACCTCCAAACCAGCTTGCACGGATAAATTAATTATGTGTGCAACGCAACGGGTATGAAAAAACGCACCGTCTAAAATCGGTGAAAGTAATATTTTCAATCTTGGAACCGCGTTTGTATTATTCGATGCATTATCAAATGATATAGAAAAAACTTTATTTTCTAATTTATAAAGACAAATTACCCTTTTTAAAAGTGTAAATAAATTAGCACTGGTATGCGGCTCACCGAATAATTCAAACGCGATTGTTCTTTTCATCATTTGCCAATTATCTTGATCTAACCAATGTGACGTAACGGCTAAAAAAGAATTTTCGGTATTATGAGGGGAACTCCAAACGTCACATGTAAGCGACACACCATAACGGTGTTCTTGGAATCCTAAAATCATTTTTTCCCTCGCCGTACGCCACATTTTTTATAGCATCTCTTCTAAGGGTAGTACGACTTACTTGAGTATAACGTGGTTGCATTAGTTGTTGAATTGTTGTCGTGAAATCTTCATCATCAAAGTGGTCGAACGGCAATGCTTTTGTAATCACGAACTTTGTAAACGCTTCTCGTAATTTTTTCGTTGTCGTAAACAAAAACACCACCTTACGGTGTAAGATTCGATTGATTAGGATCCGATCTTGAGCGAAGTGCCTTGCATGATTTTGTCAAATGGTTCTTCAACGTTGTGTTTCCTTCCGATGCAAGAAACTTTAGACAAAGTTTACAACGCGCCCTCCTCGAGCCATTTGACATCTCACATAAATCGTAGTGATCCCAAATATCTTTGTTTCGAGTGTGTTCGATCACTCTCACGACTTCAAGGTTTCCCCCGACGGAAGATTCAACCGTGTTACTCATGATGAACAAAAAATTACAAAAATAAGATTTGAGAGATGTTTAAGTGTTGTGTAATAAGATTTGAGAAAGTTGTAATCAACCAAATACATCCCCAACCTATTTATACATGTTTAGGGTAGTAAAATGGTAATTTTTTAAAGAAAAAAACGGTCAAAAACGGTCACAAACCCCCCCCCCAACGACTATATTAACGGCTAGTTTTTTAAACCCAGACCGGTTTTTTTTTTAGAATAAAAATCGATTTTTTTCAAACCGGTTTTTTATCCGGTAAAAAAACCGGTCTAGGTTTTTTTCTCCAAACCGGTTAAAATAACCGGTTTAAAAAAATCCGATCCGATTAAAAAAAACCGGTTTTTCCCAAATCCGGTTTCGGATATTTTTTTCGCAAAATCAGATATTCGGATTTTTTGTGCACCCTTAGACACACATAAGTTAACATAATTTTTTAATAGAGTGATACAATTAAAACATTGAAATTTGGAGGCCAGTTTAAAATTCTTAGATAGTTTAGTAATACGATTAACTCTAGATTAAAACAGAAGACTACCGATATATGAAATTCAATTATGTTTTTTCTTCAAGATTTAACCCTAAAATTTCAACATCCACACAGGAATGGGGTTTAATTCGGTTTCATGTCCTGACAAAAATCCCTTTGAAAAACAGAACAATGGGAGGAGTATAGTTTCCTACAGCAAATGAACGCAGCAGCCACACTTCAAAAAGCAGCTAAGCATTCAATCCCACATCCGAATACAAAGGAATAAATAAAAAAAAAAACTAAATTAACTAAAACCTCTCATTTTCTGATTAAATTAGACACCAATTCTGATAACAAAAACGAGGGGTTGTAGAGAATCCCTATCGCCTCCTCATTCCACGGCCAGGGAAACCACCTCCACGCCCTCTGCCGCCCATGGCACTTGCAGCAGCTTCTCCTTGTGCACTCTCCGACTGCAAAATTAAACACACCAAAGCAATAAAGGAACTTTACAACACTGTAAATGGAATGAAACACAACAAGAACTACTAAAGGAACCCAATAATGCATGCTTCCAATTTCAGTTCCTTTTTATTAATGAAGGGTTAACTGTAACTTCAAATTCAATGAGATTACCTATAGTTGGTGATTGAAAAATTCAACATCTTAAACTATTTTCTTACTTTTTCCTCTTCCAACATTTGCTCCCATATTTTTAATTGTATTAAGGTTAAAGACTCATTAAGGACATTTCCACATGATCAAAAGAGAAAATGATTAAATATTTATCTAATTAACTCCCATTTGCACTTTCTAGCCTACTTTTGAGCAGAAAACAACTAAACTTTTCTGGAGCTCATAACCAAAAATTTAAATGTAATTTCATCTATGTTTGATTATCATAATTTTTATCATTGTCTACTAAGAGTATAAGCAAGTCAATCTGATTGAATCAATATACAGATAGAAGGATCCCAGAAAAAAGAGGAAATGACAAACCACAGAATATAAAAAAGCATGCATGTACTTCTAGACAGGGATGAATGCATTACCTTGGGATTCTTGACAGTCTCATCGACGCTAAGAATAAGACATGCAGCTTCAGTTGCAGCATTGATGGCATTGATCTGTCAATCAAACATTTTAGATGCTAGAGGCACAAAACTTATGAAGTTAAGATTATCACAGAAATTAAAGGTTCACAATTATATAACTAATTTTGAGTTGGAAATTGGTCAAGCCACCTTTACAACTGATGGCTCCCACACAAAGTTTGCAAATGAATCTAGTATTCCACCAGTGTTGATGTCCACTCCATAAGGTGCACCCTCACCTGCCCAGAACTTCAAACTGTTAAAAGGAGAATCTTTCACTGATAACAATAGGGAATAAATGATAAAAAGAAATTTTAAAAAAGGTTTTTTTTAAAAGAATAAAACCAGATGGAAGTGCATGCTTCTGCCTTAATTTGTTCAGCACATCTGTTGCGTCAAAGCCAGCATTGTCACAAAGCTGCCGTGGGATAACCTGAAGATGAGAAGAAACACCAAGATGTCACATATTTAAATGCAAAAGTTTCATCTTGATAGAAGGCCAAGTTACATCCTACTTTCCCAAATATATTGTTCTCGTGATAAAAATTGTTTTCATACATTCATGATGAAGTCATACCACGGCAGCAGCATTATACAGTGATCTCCAAATATCTCCAAACTAAAGCATACACAAGCAAGGAAAATGAACAGTATATATAAAATCTTCCCACGGATATATCAAATAAGCCTTTTTTCTGGTAATTATTCACACAACAGGCTCCCTTTGAAAAAATTCAAAAGGTTCAGCAAAATCACGTGAGGCTTTAGCATAAAATTAATGTTGTGGCATGTCATACAATGACTTGTTTTGTATAAAAAACTTGAAAATAGCTCCCCCCCCCCTTTCTTTTTGGTACAGAGGAGGCCAAAGCCTAGGGGAAAAGTGGGGAAGGGAAATTCACAAGTTCTAGGGGTCAAGACCCATCTTTGCAAGAATCTATAAGATGGGTAGCGGTTTGGGCTAAGCCAGGAAGAAAAAACAAAGGGCAGAAACACCTACCTCAAGTGCTTTTGCATAAGAGTTGATAAAAAGTTGAGATTTTCCAGCTATTGTGCGTGCGTGCTGCCTCAAGTATCTACTTATCTCCATCTGCCATCGAAGGCAAGTTTCACATATTGAGATCAAACATTGTCTTCGAATATGCTTAACAATTCACTAGTTATTGTAAACACATACATCTATTGCACCACCTCCAGCAACTACAGTAGAGTTCTTCAAAGCTCTTCTAACAATCATAATTGCATCGTGTAAGCTCCTCTCAGCTTCTTCAATGAACTGAAAATAATAATGCATATATTCCCCAAAATCAGCATGAAAAACCAATGCACATTAATATGCAACACTAGTAAAAATATGAAAACCTGATCAGCTCCACCACGTAGAACTATGGTAGCTGTCCGTCCTGACGGGCAACCACTGAATATATTAAACCTTTCATTTCCAACCTGCTTTTCCTCAAAAACCTCACATGTTCCCAGAACCTTTAAAGCAACAAAGAATAAATTTAAATTTAAGAAGTTCAATAAGCACTGAAAAGTTGGAAAGATTAAACTTTGGGGGAGGGGGAGTTGGCCGCATTTCCAAAAGTCATAATTACCTCATCAATTATGTTGTTAACAGATGTCTGTATGGTTCCACCAGTTGCAGCAGCCACCCGGTGAAGATCTTCCTCAGTTACACGACCAGCACAGAAAATATCTCTGTCGGCAAAATACTGCCAACAAACATTCAGGTCAATAAAACTTGAGAGAATAAAAAGTAATAATTACTGACAAGCATCACTCCTCAAAGTCCCATGCAAAAGCAAAACTATCAATATAGAGAGCATAGGTGCTAGAAAGAAATAGTTATGTCAGAATAACGAAGTGCCAAATATGGCTACATTAACTTTTTACAAGGTCCAACAAAAGAACTCGTACAAGCAGGTAACAAAGTAGCAAGAGAGAAGAATGCCATAGGTCTTCAGAAGTCACCAGATAAAACTTATTTTCACAACCAAAAACATGTATCAAGTCAATTTAGTCGCAACATAACCACAAAAGGAAAATGCTTCATAAATATTGTGCCAGTTATGAATAGCTAAAGAGACATGTTTAAAGAAATACAAATACAGCATTTACAATCAAGGAAAAATCTCACACCTGTGTTGCCAAATCACCAATAGCCAACCGTGAGAGAACAACTTTTACACCACTCTTCACACATTTATCCAACTTGTCGTAAATGATATTCCATTCCGCATCAACAATTGATTGATATTGTGATGGATCTGAAAGTCTGTAGCATATAAAACAAAAAGTAGAGCCAACATGACTTATGGAAAAATAATTCAAACAGAGATAGCAAAAACAACTACCTTATCTCAGCATTCTCTTTCTCAGATTTCAGTTCCAACTCGATGTTTAACAGAAGTATTTTGGGATTCAAAAACTTCTTTGGCTGCTGTTCGAAACCAGCATATGAAAATGTCTTTTTAAAGGCAACACCATTAACCAAAAAAGAGTCCCTCATATTACCACCAGGAACCTTGCAAAAGAAGAAGAATCTATTTTGACGTGGCAGTGATATTAAATACAAGAAACATAAAACTTGGACCCATATTTTAAACCTTATAAAAATCAAAGTCAAATTGATGCCCACCTCATTTCCTAAAGGAACATTGCAACACTTGCACTTTACATGAAGCTAAACCCTTAATGGATGAGAATCTAAACCCTTAATGGATGAGAATCTAAACCCTTAATGGATGAGAATCTAAACATAAAGAACAGCCAAGTGCTACACACAGCTAGGAAGTAAGATAGTGCAATATAAGACACACTGGGTCCAAAACATCATTTCCCTGACAAAATTTAAGGTGTACTTTCAAAAGATCCAAGTACAAATATTGGGGGGGGGGGCAAGAAAAACGGCAAAAAAAGGTTGACAACGAGGCATGAAACAGAAGATTACCTTCTTAATTCCAATCATATTTAATCTATCTTCATTGCCAATGGCAATAACAGCATCCACAACCATTGATGCAAAGAACTCCTTTTCTCCACCAATGAGTTTTGAAGAAAGTGTTGTTGCAGCACATTTAGCTAAGAAGCTTTTCTTCTCTTCTAGACTTTTACCCTCTATACTGACAGCAAGTTCTTTGATCTTCTCAATAGCCTGCCCGTTAAGTAAAACATTCAACATATATAGACTCATACTTCAACATCTAAACCGTGAAAGGAGGCTAAAAAACACAAACTAACCAAATTGCAAGCAGTTCGATAACTACGGATAAGATTTTGAGGATGGACTCCATCCTCAACAAAAGGCTTGGCCTCTTTCAAAAATTCTCCGGCTAGCAGTACAACAGTTGTAGTACCATCACCAACCTGCACCACACAAGAAGAAAGTTGTGTAAATCAACTAAATTGCATGAAAAACAGTGGATCTCGATAACGCCAATACCTTCAAGTAGATTCATGATGCTGAACAAAACCAACTTCAAATTAAACTAGTAGTTTTGTAATGAAAACCCAAGGCCCAAGCAACTATTTAAACTACAATTCAACTAAAACTAGAGAAAACGATTCGGAATGCGTCAATATTTTGCCATCAAGGAGTGAAAGAAAAAGAACGATGAGAGTGACCTCGGAGTCCTGAGATTTGGCAATATCAACGAGGATCTTGGCGGCAGGATGGACAATATCAAGAAGCTTCATGATGGTGGCGCCATCGTTGGAAATGGTTACATTTCCTTTGCCATCGTGGATGAGTTTATCCATGCCCCTGGGCCCCAGGGTCATTCTAACCACATCAGCCACGGCGGTGCAAGCGTTGATGTTGCTGACTAGCTGAGCCTTCCCCTGGGAAGTGTCTGTCCCTTCTTTCAAAAGAATGATTTGAGGTTGCTGAAATGAATAAAAAGGAAAATATTTAGTAGCAGTTAAAAAAATCAACACACCGAGTAAAATGAGTGAAGACTAGTGAAGTTACCAGCATGGATGCCATTGCTGCTAGGGTTCCGCTTTCTGTTTTCGGAGGAAGAGAGATGCAGAGTGAGACAAAGAGAGCAGGGAAGAGTGTTCGAGCTCTAAGTTCTTTTATGGGTTCAAGTTTTTAACTCTTTGTGAAGGCTATTGGGCCATAAAGGAAAGATATTTTTTGGTCTAGACTAAAAGTGGGCTTATTTCTCTCTTCTAGTTTATGACCCAACTTCAAAGCTTATCACTTTGGCGGCGCCAATATGAAGCAGCACATTACAGTTTCTTTTACAGTAAATCAAATTTCATTTTTTGTTTCTAAAAAAAGAACAAAACCCAGTTTTTTCCTTGGCAGTCTCCACTCCTTTTCTACCCATCATCTCATTTGGTCCAATCTCTTCGTGTTCATCAGCATTTTTGAGTCGTTCTCCTGTGAAAACCCATCATCAAGATAGCTTAATTATGACTCAGCAGCGTTCGTTTAGACGGCTGGTTATCAACTGTTCCGCTTCTTGTGAGCTGGGTTCCTCCCCAGATCCCATGAACTCATGGTATATACTTTGAGTTTTGATGTTCAGTGTGGGTCTTGCAGTCGTATTGTTATAATTTGATGAAATATTCTATGGTATGTGCTTATATTGGTAATCCGATTATAATTCTGATAATAAGTCGGCTTTAATTTCGAGGAAAAGTGGAAATTCCAAGATTCTTGCACTTTGTATCCGATGTCAGTAGGAATCGGAAAATAGTGGAAATGGATTTGCTCTTTGAACAATATTTTTCAATTTTTGTTAATCCTTCTTCAGTTGAAGTATTGCACAGTCTCTATAAAAGGTTGAAGTTACTATGACTAATGTAAAACAAAAACAACAATACCTTATTCTCACATGTAATAGGATAAGAGGAGATAGGGTAATAGGTTGTCTCCAACTCTATATTCAAAGCAGCTTCCGTACCTCCGGCAATTAGAAAATTAAAAATAAAGATAAAATACAATGCATGTATAAATAAATAAATACATAGTTGAACAGTCTTCTTATGCAGTCTTCATATGTGCGTCTGTAATGGGAAGTATTCCCTGCAAATAAATCTCTGCGTAAAAAAATCTCTGCATATAGACAGAAAACGTAAGACCAGACTAAATTTAAAAAGAGAAAACATGAAGAGAATGATACACAGAAGTCATCGATAGCAAGCTACGAGAATGAATAAAATCAAATTGATTAAAACCTAAACTAAGACAACACTAATCCGCTACCCTAGTTCTAAGCTTTCATAGATTCCAATGACAGAAACGTATAAATAGAAATAATGGAAATTACTACAAAGGCATTAAAAAGAAGACAGAGATGATACACCCTATGGCATTGACCCACACTACTCAGGTATCCTGGTCTTAAGTCTCCATAATTTCCTATCAGAGGTCATGTCCTCGGTAAGGGCTAAATCATTCAAATCATATCTCAAGCAGTCTACCCACTTCCTCATTAGTCGTCCTCTCCTTCTGACACTGTCGGCTGTAATCGACTCTCTCTCCTAACCACATCCGATGGTTGTCGCCTAAGGACATGCCCAAACCACCGAAGTCTTCCCTCCCTCAATTTTTCGGATACAGGCACCACCCCCAAGGGCATCCTAATTGTAGAGTTTGGTGTCATGTCCCACAGAGTCCGACCACATGCCCATCGAAGTATTCTCATTTCTGCGGCCTCCAACCTCTTTACGTGATCCTTCTTGATTGCCCAACATTCTTATTCATACAACATCGCTGGTCTTATTGTCATTCTATAAAATTTTCCCTTAAGTTTTAGAGGCACCTTCTTGTCACACAAAGCTCCAGTAGCAGCCCTCCACTTTAGTCATCCCGCCTTAATACGGTGTGTAACGTCATCATCTACAACCCCATCTTTATGAATCATAGACCCTAGGTACTTGAAACAATCCTTTGAGGGGAGAACGTGTCCTTCTATGCATACTTCTACATCTTCCTCGTTTTGGTTCCCACTGAAGTTTGTACATAAATACTCTGTCTTTTCCATATTGATCCTTAGACCTTTTTCTTCCAAAGTAGTCTTCGAGGTCATCAGTCTACTATTCAGCTCAGTTTTTGTTTCAGCAACTAGGACAATGTCGTCAGCGAAAAACATACACCATGGAACACCGTCTGGTGTCGCACAATAGATGACGTCCATAATCAAGGCGAAGATGTAAGGGCTAAGAAATGACCCCTGGTGGAGTTCGATTTCCACCGGGAAAGCCTCGGTGTCGCCAACTGTAGTCCTGACGTAAATAGTAGATCTACAGTACATATCACGAATCGTCCGGATATAAGCATTTGGGATCCGTCTCGTTTCCAATGTCTTCCAGATCGTATCACGGGAAATGCTATCATACGCCTTCTCAAGGTCAATGAACACCATGTGAAGATCTCTATTTTTTCCCTATATTTCTCCATAAGCGGTCGAAATAGATGAATCGCCTCCGTAGTAGACATGTCGGGCATAAAGCCAAATTGGTTTTCCGAAACCCTAGTAACCTGTCTCAACCTAGCCTCTATCACTCTTTCCCATAGTTTCATGGTATGATTGAGTAGTTTAATACATCTGTAGTTACCACAACATTGGGGATCTCTTTTATTCTTATAGATTGGTATCACCGTAGACTCTCTCCACTCCTCTGGCATCTTGGCAGTCTCTAAAATAATATTAAAGATGTTGATCAACCACTTTACTCCCTTTTCTCCTAGGGCCAACCACACAGTGATAAGAATTTGATCTGGACCGACAGCTTTGTCCACCCCCATCTTTCTAAGAGCCATTTTGACTTCCTCAATCCCAAACCTACTTGTATGGCAGTCATTGGTCGTAGTATGATGGTCGACTGGTCCATCAACGATACTATCTCTACAGGTAGAGACACCATTATTATATAAGCCATAGAAGTAACTACCCCAAACCCTCTTAATATCATGATCTTTCACTAAAAGAACATCATTGTTATCCTTAATAAACCTAATGCTACCTAGATCATTTTTCCTATTCTCCCTGGATTTTGCAAGCCTGAAGATGCCATTTTGTCCTTCCTTGGTGTCTAATCTTTTGTACATTTCCTCGTATGCCTTATCCTTTGCTTTAGCCACTATTTTCTTGGCTTCCTGCTTTACCTCCTTGTATATTTGTCTAGCTCTCGATCTTTCTTCGTCGTCATTGCATTGTAGAAACTCCTTGAAGCAAGTTTGCTTTGTTTTCACCTTAGTTTGGACTTCGTCGTTCAACCACCACGATTCTTTATGTTCCTTGACCTTTCCTGTCGACAACCCTAGGGTGTTTTTACCAACCTCTATGATGGAATTTGTCATATTTTTCCATAACATATATGCATTATTTGAGTTTGTAGTGCCAAAACCTATATTGGACAAAACCTTACTCCTAAAGTCATCAGCTGTCGCTCCATGTAAGTTCTTCCAAAGGATCCTAGGTTTACCAAGTTTAGCCCTCCGATGAGTGCTCCGCCCGTGGCGTACGCGGAACACCAAAACCAACAATCTGTGTTGTAATGCACATGCCTCTTTAGGGAACACCTTACAGTCAATGCAAGCCCATCGATCCCGATTTCAAACCAGGATGTAGTCGATTTTAGTACAATGTTCCCCACTATGGAACGTGATCAAGTTCACATATCTCTTGTTAAAGAATGAGTTAGTGACCACCATATCGTGTGCAGTAGCAAATTCAAGCAACGTACGCCCCTCCTCGTTCCTACTACCAAAATCGAAACCCTCATGAACACCGTCATACCCGTCTGTTGGGATTTTCGGAAGCTCGATTCGATAACCGGAATAGTTTGCAAATAGGGGTCGAAACGATTTTGTGTTTAGGGAGTAAGGAGATTGAAAGATAGAGAATTACATAGCGATTTATAGTTCTTCAACTTTCTCAACCAAAGTCTACGTCCACTACCTTAGCTCCTCACCAAGGATTTTCCAACAAATTCACTAATTTGTTCTTTCTTTTGAGGACAAAGAGATAACCTTACAACTCCCTAGTTTTTCCGGGCTAAACTAGAAAATTTCCCTAGCTTTTACACGGGATAAGCTAGAACATTTCCCCTTTACAAAAGGATAAAATAAGTAAACAAGAAAACCTCTCTAAGGTAGGTGTTTACAAGATTGAGCTCACAAGAACAAAATATTTACAAGAGAAATAAGATTGAAAAACTCTTCTCTTGTGTTTGATTGCTTGGATAATTGTTCTCATACTTCTTCAAGTGTCCTTAGCTTGTATTTATAGCTTGAAATGTGTTTGATGTCGTATATAACCGTTGGGGATGTTGTGGAGCCGTTTGGGGATGATTTTTATACTCAAAAAGGTTGCCCATAACATGGTGCATCGGTGCACTATCAAGGTGCATCGATACCCCTTCATTAAATTCAAATAAACTAGTCATTACAGCCTTGGTGCATGGATGCACAGCAGAATGCATCGATGCACTAAGTGCAATCGAAATGAAGTACATGGATGCACTACATAGTGCATCGATGCACTAGTGGCAGGTGCATGGATGCACTTTGACACCCTTTAGCATTTTGGCTCAAATATGAATTTAATGGACTTTGAATTATTTTTGAAACCTTTTAAAACTTTGAATAAATTCAATTAAGTCCAAAAACCATTTTGTAAATTTAATTCAAGTCCAAAAACCATTTTGCCTTAAATTGTTATATCAAAACATAGTTCAACAATCTCCCCTTTTCTGATATAGCAAAACATTTGAAAAATTGTTTTTGGCAAAACTCCCCCTTAATAAATTGTTTAATGAAAAATATATCAATTGTTAACAATTGTTGGAAAATATATAAAAATGTTAAGCTCCCCCTTTTTCATTAAGAAATTGAATTTTTCAAACCAAACTTCTCCCCCTTTTTGTTATATCAAAAATAATTCAATCTTTGAAGTTCAAAATAACTTTGGAGTGTAAGTGGTAAATTTGACATTTAAAAATCATTTGAAAAATCAAAGCTCTCCCTCAATAATAGAATTCCAAACAAAATTTAGCTTTTAAGATCATGACACTTAAACAAAATTGAATTTTAACAA